AATAGACCCAACTGCCTCCTAACAAACATGTCGAAAGATTCGACTATTTAGAGAATCCCTACCAAGTCTGCGTGCATCTGTGCGAGAGACATGGAACCAACAGTCTGCATACAAATACGCCACTTGAAAATTACATGACTAGAAGAGATGAAATAGAACAGTGTTAGACCTATGTTTTGTAGACCAATTAGCTCTCGATGGATGATACGGTCAACTTCCCATCGGCCGCGTTTATTTCCCATAATATTTCATGGCACCCATTTGAGGCTGGGTCGACCTGGTGGCCGAGGTCATTTTTGGAAGAAGAAAAAAAAAGTCAATTTCTGTTCGAATTTGAACCTAGGTCATAGTGATCTGCAGGCAAGCGTCAAGTCGCTACACCGTAGTGGTTCAGAAGAAGGTAAGACTAGCGATTAATAATAAATTGTAGCTATCGACACGCGACAGCTCAACCACAGTGAAGCCAGAGATGATTGATCTAAGGCTAGTTGCGTATCCTTTACAGGACGTTGCAGAACCAACCCCAGCAGCCCCTGGCTGTTGTGTGGTTTCTCTAGGCAAATTTACGTCGAGTAGTTTGCCATTGCTTTATGGACGGTCGGCCCCCTGATACCACTGTCGAAAGCAACGCAAGGCGCATGGCCCGCAGCTGATATCGAACCCGGCACCCCGGCATCACCAGAGATGATTGGGACACCAAAACTCACCAGTTAAAACAACCAGGAAGTTACTCAAGCAGAAGTGAATTTGTCACCAAGCCTTGAACGGCTACAGCTGTGTCACGGCCGTGACAAATTGTTCCCGCGCTTCAACGTTTGTAGCGCCAGGAAACGCGAAGGCTCACGCGCCTCTTGTCGCACGAGAGTGAGCTGCCAGACGTGTGATGTCGAAACGAGATGCACCTGAACACGCGAGTGGTTCATGTTTTAAACAGGCCGTTATGTTAGGCTTCTCCAGGACGAGAAGGATGTGTATGTATTACGTGTGCCGAATATGTGTTGACATTCTAATTTGGACGCGAAGCAAGTGGGTTGCCACAGCACGGTGTAAATAGTGGAAGAATAGAAGATGATGCAGTTATTGTGTGTAGAAAACTAATCTAGTGCTGCGTAGTCTAGTTTATAAAGTAGACAGTTCGTGAAGCAGGTCAGTTGTCGCTTGTGGTTAGTTCACATCACGAATTCTAGGTGTACCAGAATGTTGGTAAGTTCCTACTCTAAAATAAAACCAAAAACTAGCCAAAGAAAGCTAGAAAGATATATTATAAAAATATTGAAGAGTGTAGGTAATATCGGGAATAAAGTATATAGCACAGAATCAAAACATACACAAATAAATTATGTGTGTAATTAACAAGTGTTCTTTAGATGACAATGTGTTAATAACGGACAACAAATATTACACTAAACGTTTTGAAAAACCACAGTAAATCAGTTTTTGTTTGTAGTGAAAATATATAATGTTGACACAAATAGTTTACTCCGCCGTACATAAGTCGTTTAATGCGGCGCATATAGGGGCAGGAAACATACAGGTATGTGCTAACTTTGATATTTAATGTCACTGTGTGATGCAAAAACAGTTTCCGACAAGAGATGAAACCTTCCATCTGGACTGTCGTCACCGCTCTACTCCATCTGGACTTCAGGCTATTTTGTAGACGTCAGGATCCCCAATATAGGCTCACTGTTAAACAGGTTTTCTTGGATTTGTGAACAGAGGATTCTCATCCGAATAGTAACACTTTGTGTCACCGGGTGTTGAAATTTCAGTGTGCCGTCCTAGTTTTACCAATTTGCCAAAATAATAATTAAGGACAGACTCAATAATTTCATCGTCAACTTCAACTGGTGCCAATAAGTTGCGTAGGTAGGATCAGTTTGTTGTCTAGCACTCGATAGCCAGGCGCCAATTGCCATTGTCATTCGTAAGGACGTACTATGTCTTTAGTGTTTCCGGTCTTTGCCTTTGGCACCATCTTGCTATATGATAATTGACTGACTGTATGTCTTCTTAAACACCGTTTAAGTTCTTCTTACAGACTGTATGTCTTCTTAAACACCGTTTGAGATCTTCTTACAGACTGTATGTCTTCTTAAACACCATTTGAGATCTTCTTACAGACTGTATGTCTTCTTAAACACCGTTTAAGTTCTTCTTACAGACTGTATGTCTTCTTAAACACCGTTTGAGATCTTCTTACAGACTGTATGTCTTCTTAAACACCGTTTAAGTTCTTTTTACAGACTGTATGTCTTCTTAAACACCATTTGAGATCTTCTTACAGACTGTATGTCTTCTTAAACACCGTTTAAGTTCTGCTTACAGACTGTATGTCTTCTTAAACACCGTTTAAGTTCTTCTTACAGACTGTATGTCTTCTTAAACACCGATTGAGTTCTTCTTACAGACTTTATTTCTTATTAAACACCGTTCAAGTTCTTCTTACAGACTGTATGTCTTCCTAAACACCGTTTAAGTTCTTCTTACAGACTGTATGTCTTCTTAAACACCGTTTAAGTTCTTTTACCAGACTGTATGTCTTCTTAAACACCGTTTAAGTTCTTTTTACAGACTCTATGTCTTCTTAAACACCGTTTAAGTTCTTCTTACAGACTGTATGTCTTCCTAAACACCGTTTAAGTTCTTCTTACACACTCTATGTCTTCTTAAACACTGTTTAAGTTCTTCTTACAGACTGTATGTCTTCTTAAATACCGTTTAAGTTCTTCTTATAAAAAATTATAACTGATGTACTGAAAGAAAAAAAAATAATAAAGGAACTGTTAGTATAGGGATTCAAATCCTAATAATTTTAAGGTCTGCATGACATCGACGAATTGGCCTGGAAAGAACAAGAACTAGTTGAACTCGTTGTAAACATACTTGTTGAAACATGGACCAATTATGGCATAGAAATAAATGCAGATATAAAACAATAGACTCACTTCCACCCTCACAAGCATGTTATCAAAGTCGACTAATTAGGACTATTTCCTTCCAACTCAGAAGGAGTTGCCTGAGTGGCAAGGAACCAACTTTCTACATATACAAGTATATTAGCCAGGTCTGTAAAACGGATGTGAATGCAAAACTCAAGTTCTGAAACCAAATGTGAAAGAAAAGCCTGGACTTTCCAACGGAGTTTACAACCGGTGAACGCTAAGAAAAAAAAAAGGAATAAGAAGTATAAAATGCCTAACATTAAAAATAAAAATAAAAATAGTAAAAGAGATTTTCTTGTTAAGTTTGTATGTTTAGGTCCATCTTACAACAGAAAATCCTGAAATAAAATCATTTTAGTTCTCATATTTTATTCTGATTTCATGTAACCAGGACTTCGTTTCTGATGCTTTGCATATGATGTGTTAATATGAGTAGAGTTGAACTAACATCATATAATTCGGGACATTCCCATTAGTGCAGCGTCCTCCTCCTCTTCAGCAGCCAGCTAAGAGTAAACATTCAGAGGTTGAGAGTAACAGTTTGATTATGTGTCCATCTTTCCTTTCATTTGACGTTAGTGTCACTCCCAGTTGTACCATTCACTCCAGGCGATAATGACCTGTTTGTGCCTTTGCATTGTTCACTTGCTTCAAAAGGGTCTTGAGGAAACCCAGCTTGTGAACAAAATCAGCACCCATTGGTGCAGAATCAGTCAGGCTGTCTGTCTGTTTATTTCCCAACACTCCAGCCTGTCCCAGAGAAATAATCCAAAGAACACTAACAGTAAGAAGAACAAGAACACTAACAACATTGGACCTTTGAAGTGATGCTTGCCATTCTGCACGGATCATGCATGTCTGCACATTTCTCAGCATGCTTTGTGAGTCAGGTTACAATCAAGTGTGTACAGTGGGTTATCAAGCCAGCAGAAAGCCGCTGTGATTGCCTAAACCTCCATTCTCAATAAAAATGTTTGTTGCTCCAAGCGTGGTCCATTCCCTTTCGCAATGAACCTGAGTCCACGCACTTCTTCTGCCTCTCAGCACAGCGTCAACTGTATAGATATTCACACCACCTGGTGGGGACAATCTTGAGTAGGTTGTTATGTTTCTAATTATGCCGTTCCTGCTGGACAGTTCTTGCGCTTCCGTGCAACTATAATTAGAACCCTACACAAGTCCGATTTTTGCTCTGACACTTAGACCCTCCCCCCTCCACCCATACGTAGACTCGTAGACTCACACACGCAGACACACATACACACACATGTAGACACACCCAGAGACAGTAGACACAGAGACAAAAACATACAGACATTCACACACACATACACACACAGACATACACAGATATATACACATAGAGACGCGCATATACACAGGCATTTACGCATCTGAAACAGTATGAGTATCACAATTATTTAAATAGTGCGCTTGAAATAGCATACACTTAACCATCTCTGCTTCTACAATCCGTTACAATTTATACTTAGTTAATCATCATCATCATTATAACTATCATCATCAAGTGCCTTGCCAGCTGGCATAGGCGTTTATGCATCTCCACAAATCTCAGTCTTTGGTGTTCTGGATCAATTTCACTGATGATATTCCCCCATGCTGTTGTCTTGAGCCATCCATCGTTATTTATCTTGGTCTGCCTCTGCATCTTCTACCTGTAATTTTTCTAGTCGTCACGATATTTTTCAGTGCTCTTTTTCTCATCACATGTCACCTTCTCATTGTTGTATTTATTGCTCTACTTTCATAAGCCATTTCCAGGCAATCATTGTTAGTTTATGCACCATTGTAAAACCAGTTGACACACTGACAAATACAAATATCCAATAGTGAAAAGGAAAAGGAAAAACGCTATATTTCCCATTTATAACCCAGATGGGTTGAACCGGTTCTTGTTATTTAAATTACTACTACCAAGTGTATGAATGTGGATTTAAGTGTTATATAACAGCGACTAGTTCAGACTGGAGTACGCCATATACAGGAAAAGCCTGAAGTACTGTCTCCAACGGAAAAAAAAAAAAAAAAAAACAGATGGATGGAAGGGGCATAGAAATAATCGTCTCCGACGAGAACGACACCCGGGTGTCCACAGTTCTCTCGGGGAAAAGGGCGGTGCTTCGCCGCATATGGACTATTTTGCTGGACAACAGGGTGGAAGGGCGACCGGATGCAGAGAAGGCCTTGCATCCTCGTCCGGAAGAGCACCGGGTTCTCAAACGTGTCTTGAACATCATTTTCATCACCATCGGCGTGGCCTTGTTTATTTCTGTCCTAGTGGTCATTATCTACTGCGTCGTTGGTGAGTAATTTAATATTATTGTGCGTCAGTGTATTTGTATGTGTGTGATTTGGTCATAATTACGACAATAGAACACGCCCTAATGGTAAAAGTAATATTGGTCTCCACACGCCCCACCCATATATACACTAGCTCACTTCTGATTAGTAGTTCCTCAGCTTGTCACAAGACTACAGGGACGTTCCGCCATGCCGTTGAAATCACGTGTTGTATATTTCAGCACACCAGCGCTTTTAACACTCCAAAATCATTGAGAAAGTGGTCCTAACACAACATCCCTAGAGAGTACTGCAACCTATGTCACAGGCACTCTCTTCCTCGGGATGAAAAGGTAAAGGCAAGACATTACAGAAAGCAAACAACAGAGCGGTACACACCCATAATCTTCATGAAAGTCGACCAGCCCAACAAACTTATGAATGAAAGGTAACTTACTCTGTTTGGGGAGATTAACATGAACCTAACAGATTGTGTCATAATTACGACAATAGAACACGCGATAATATGGGACGCAAATTTTTGGGTGGTTATTTTAATGCCCCACCCGACTGTCGTGGGGAAGAGGGGGTGGCTCCTAATATATAATTTAACGGTTCAACGGAGTTTCTAGTACTTATGCCTGGATGATTATAATCGGAATAAATGCATTAACCTGCAATACTGCCCCCCCCCCCCCTTTTCCTCCACCCACCTCGTGCCTACACCACAAAAGTTCGCAATACAGGCAGTAGTTGCAGCTATTAAGGCAGAAGGTGATTAAAGGCAGGATTTAGTACGAACAAAAACCATAACCCAAATGTTTTGAAAGAGGCGGGGCTGGACCGGGCTATATTCCGGTCCCTGGCAAGAGCCAGAGTAGGGCTTTAAAATAACGAAAAACTGCATCCCGCTAAGGTTACCTATCATAGACATCAGAGACAGTCGTCAACTTTGGGATCATGCTAGGAGAAGAGGGAAACTGGAATATGTTGTTACCACTAGAAAAATCTGTAGAAAGAACCTTTTTTTCATGGCTTGGCGTTGTGTCAACACACAAACTAATACACGCAGTTGCGGACAAGATTATGGAAAGGCCTGATCGCCCACGCCAATTAGCAAGGCCCTTTGATGGCTATCGTGATGATGAATGCGATTAACAATTTCATGATTCTCAAATACTAGGGTTATTTTTCCGCCGTGGATGGATACATAACAATTAAGTAAAAATTCGCTTACGCGTTCTTCAGAGCGTGGTATAAGAGGTGCACCGTGGAAATGATTGGGTCCTAACCACGTAATATACATAAAGACAGCAGTAGGTGTGCACTGTAACCAACTTTGATTATGGAGGCAGGCAACATTTTAAATATTAAAACTGTTGTGCGCATATAAGTTAGACAATAAGCTGAGAAACCGAGAAAAATCTTAGGGATGCTGATATGTGGTTTTGGGTAAACTATGCACTGCACTGAGTTTCTTCGGACTCAGACTTGAATTAGAAGAAGAACGGAGCACTTATGGGATACTATTCGTGTGCCATGATGTTGATCCGTTGTTCAAAACTTCAAACAGGAAAATTGGTCGAGAAGCGACTGGGCGAGTGGTTACCACGCCGGGTTCTCATGAAACCCCTGTAAGGTGATGGTAAGTTTTTTTTTTTGTTGGGGTCCAGATTAAACACCCTTGAAAAGCACAGTCTGTTCCGACAGCACTAGCCAGCGGACCTAAATTCTCAGGATCCCCCCCCCCAACCCCCCCCCCTCCTTTCCTGTATACACCGCCCGGTTAAACTAACGTTGGTCTTCCCAAACAAAGTAGGTCACGTTCCATTCATAAGCTTGTTGGGCTAGTCTGCCTTCCTGTAGGTTACGGTTGTGCCACTCTGCTGTTTGCTTTCTGGGTTGTCTTGCATTTACGTTTTTATTCCGAGAAAGAGAATGACTGTGACATCGGTTGCAGTGTTAAAG